AAGGGTGGCAAATGGTGGGTCTGCAAGTACTGCGATTTGAAATTCTCGGGCAGCCTGAACCGTGTCAAGGAACATTACTCAAAGGGAACCTGTGCGGCGGAGCAGAGCAGGAAGGTTTTCACAAATGAAGAAAAAGATGCAAGGAAGCAGGGGTTGAGACAGACTCTGGCTGACATGGCGATGGCGAATGGCGACAACAGTCTTCCTAGTGGATCTAGTTTGGCTATTGCACCAACGGTTGTGGAGAATGTGGGTAGCGGCATGGAAAAAGGGGGTACATCATCCGACATGCAACGATCCGCTTCATCTGTGCGGCAAATGGTGCTGGAGGAGACAAATAGCATCATCACGAAGAACGAGATGACGTCAAGGAAGGTCGACAACTGGCTGACCTGCACGAACCAACCTTTCAATATGGTCGAGAATGAATTTTACCTTGACATGGTAAATGCTATACCGAATGCCCATCCCTCATGGCGGATGCACAGCAGGGAGGCCGCAAGGAATGGTAGACTGAATGGCCAGAACAAGAGGTGCATCGAGAATGTGCGGATGATTGCAAAGAAGTGGGAGAGAACAGGGTGTATGGTGCAGATGGATGAATGGTCCGACAGGCGAGGGAGACCGCACATCAGTGTGATGGTCTCCTCCCCTGTAGGGACCGTCTTTTGGAGGTTCATTTGTGTAGAAGGGAGGGAGAAGTACTCCATAGCATACTACAACATCCTGGATGCTGCAATCCAGGACATTGGACCCAAGAGTGTGGTCAGGGTGATCATGGACAATGCTAGAGTTTGCGTCAAGACGGGGAAGCTTGTTGAAAAGAAGTACCCTTGGATCTTCAGGGTTGGTTGCACAGCGCATGCCCTCGACCTTGCATTGGAGGACTTCGACAAGCGCATTGGATGGTTTTCCAGGACGGTCAAGAGAGCGAACGAGTTGGGGAATTTCATCATGAACCACGACAAGGTTCGTGCATTCTTCCTTGAACGTTCTGGCGGGGCACAAATAAAGAGGTCAGGAGTGACAAGATTCGCAACGAATATTATCATGCTGCAGTCCCTTTTGGACCGAAAGAATGCCCTCAAACTTGCCGCAGGTGCGAAAGGCTCGGTGTCTAGCATGGTGCGGACTGATCTGCTGTCCAACTTTGAGGAAGCCACGACCACTATCCTTGACGAGAGCTTTTGGGGCGATGTTGAGAAGTCCATCAAAGCCACGGAGGCTATTGTGAAGTTATTGAGGATGGTGGACGGTCCAGGGGGCACCATCAGCAAGGTTTATCATCATATGGACGCCGTGGTGGAGGGGATTAGGATATTGGAAGTCCTTACGGACTTTGAGAAAGCAGAAGTGGAATCGATCATCATGGATCGATGGGCATTCATGACGTCGGAGCTGCATTGTGCAGCAGCGTTTTTGAATCCGGAATTTCGTGCACAATCTGCCATCCACGATACGGAGATCCGGGCGGGGTTCAACATATGGTTGTACACATGGGCCTCGTCGGACGATTGAAGGACATCAGTTGGCAAGTGGATGACTGGGTTCACATGAAGGGTGCATTAGGGTCGAGAGAGGCATTGGATGGCGCGCGATTGAAGACCCCGTTCATGTGGTGGGACTCATTCGGGTCACGCTTGAACCTCTTGCAGCCCCAAGCGATCAAGCTGTTAGGATAGGCAAGCTTGTTTGCTGCTTGTGAGCGCAATTTGAGCTTGCACGAACTCATTTTCGGCAGGAGGAGAACGAAGTTGTTGCCGGGCCGTCTCGCCAAGCTTGTGTACAATAATTGGAATCTCCACCTGCAGTGGAGGCAAGAGAAGGGGGCTGACGAAGACGATGTCCGCATCCCGTGGATGAAGGACTTACCGGATGCAAAGAACAAGGCGAAGGCAGAGCGCTATTATAACGAGTGGTGCAGAAAGTAAAGGCGAGCACCGAGGATATGGAGGCTGGCGCAGAGGATGATAGTGTTGTCATTGCAGAGCTGGACGATGAAGGGGATTTGCCTTTGGCAAGGAGATGGGTGCGCAATTACCAACTTGACGACATGATGGACGAAGAGGATGACATCGCTCATATTGAGAACTATACGAACGAGTGGCAGTTCTGCACTGCACCGGGGAGGCATAGAGAGCCCTTGTTGAGGAGGAGATCAGGGCACGAGCGACCAGACCCTTTAGTGGAGTACAACGTCGAGGAGCGAGAGCGCGCATTGCGGGCACGAGAGACAAGCGATTGGGTGGAAGGTAGATGCGCAGGGGGCAGCAGCGGAGCAAAACGACAGCAGCAGCAACATGCTGCTGAAGTCCGTGCTGCGGAAAAGCGCCCGACCGAAGAACAGCTTTCGCCGCCAAAGAAGAAGAAGAGAGGACGCCCCACCAATGCCGAAGTGGCCGAGAGGAAAAAAGCGAAGAAGGCTGCGAAGAAGGCTGCAGTGGCAGAGAAAGTTGCTAAGAAAGCCGCAAGGAGAGCAGCAGCGAGAGCTGCTAAGAAAGCTGCCAGGAGAGCGGCTGCTGCATCTGCGGATGCCCCGACATCCTCCCGCCTAGTCACAAAGGAGGCAATGAAACAGGGGGGGAAGCGGACGGCGGTGATCCTCGATGATGACGAGTGTGAAGAATCGTCCTCCTCTTCATCATCATCGTCCTCGCCATCTTCACCTTCTGCATCATCTGCAAGTGGGGAAGATCAATGTGAGGACCATGTTGGGAGTGAAGAAGAAGGGGGCGAGGATCAGGGGAGTGAGGAGGGTGGTGACAAAATTATCGATGGAGGTGGACAGGAGTAGATTGGGTGGGTGACACTCGTTGTGCTTTTTGGATGGTGTCGCTTCTAGACTCCAAATGAGCATGATGCTCATTTGATTAACTTCTAGGTTTCAATATTTATGGACAGCACTGCACTTTTTCTGCTTTCTTCTCTTTGCTACTTTGCAAGTTTGCACGTGTTTGCACTTTGTTGTTGTTCTGTTTTGTGTTCGGTTTCGTTTGTTGCTTGCAACTGGGCCTGGTTCCCAGCACGTGCTGCTCCCCACGAATAGATTGGAGCAATTAAAAAAAAAAAAAGGGTGTGGAGGTGTGCTGGAATCTCAACAGTATAGGACGTTCCATCCTCTCCGCCCTTAACTTCTAAGACTGGCCACGGTCCAAACTCTTTTGACTTGACCCAAACTAAGTCGCCTACTTGAAACTGTGAGGGGCGGCGATGCTTATTAGCTTGCTCTATCATTTTGTGTTGGGCTTTCCTGAAGTTATCCACAATGGTAGCTATCTTTTTCTCGTGTTGTATCGCAAACTCTCGTGTACCGGGCGGTAACCTCTGAATTTGATCCTGGTTAAGTCCTTCAAATAGTCTGTGCGGTCTAAAACTTACGCAGTTCGTTGGGAGTGCGACATGTGGCTAAGTGCACGCTGTTATTGTATGCACTGGCTCCCTTTGGAAGCATCTCATCCCAGTTGATCTGGTCAGGCCTAATGTACAATCTAAGAACTTGCTGCAAGAGCTTGTTCATCTGTTCAGTCTGACCGTTAGTCTCAGGAAGACGGTCAGATGACATCAATAACTTTGAACCATAAACTCTCATCAGTTCCTGCCATACTTGCAGCCGTACCGTGCGCCGCATGGTCCTGTCCGTCATACGGGGTCCGGGCCGGGACCTTCCCGTCTGGCCTACAGGCCCGTACCCGTACCAGACAGGGCCGCACCATGCCGCACACTGTCCGGTAGGGCAATCGCCCGTCCGGTGCGGTTTTGTCCGCGAACTGTGCGGGGAGGTCCAATCCCCCGCCCGGTCCTGTCCGGAAACTTTTTTTTTTTTTTTTTTTTTTTGAAAGCACTGTGAGGGGGGGATGATATATAACGCACCTGGTAGTTGCTGTCGAAATACATTCATGATTGATGATCATTGATGATAATTTGGGATGATTGAGGATCATTAAGGATGATTCAGGATGATAGAGTGGATGATTGAGATCATGAAATAGAGATAGATGATGACTGATCAGAATGATTGTCTACCCAGCACTCAAATATTATCTTATCCCTAATTTCTGTATCCATTCTACCAGTGTTCCATGCGTCAAAGTTGTTGCCTTGCGTCACCAGTCAACAGTTTCCATCACAGCGATCCATGATACCTCCGGATATGGATGGAAGATAAACGACCATTTCGTCAAAATGGACATCTTTTATTTTTTGAACGAAATTGAAACCGAGTTTTTTGGCCAAAAACTCGTCAAAAATTGCTGTTCCTCAGGCTGAGGGTCCGGCGTTTGTAAAATGCTGGAACCCCCCTGGCTGTACATGGACCTAGCTTGAGACCAGGGACACATCCAGCCAGGCCTGCCTGGATATCCCTGGTCTCAAGCTAGGTCCATGTACAGTCAGGGGGTCCAGCGTTTTACAAACGCCGGACCCTGAGGAACAGCAATTTTTGACGAGTTTTCGGCCAAAAAACTCGGTTTCAATTTTGTTCAAAAAATAAAAGATGTCCATTTTGACGAAATGGCAGTTGATACGGCATTGATGGTATAGTAGGTGAGGATGTCTTCAGGACAGGAGGTAGAGGTCATCCACAGAAACAGTACAAAGTCAGATTTTCCTTTCAAGAGCCAGAAGACGACCGCTGGTTCACGCGAACAGAATTTCTAGAGACAGCTCCCGACATACCAGTGTGATGCGGTCCAGTTTTTGGGCCTGACCGGTGATGTCTCTCCTTCAATCAGGACCGCGGACCTCCTTTTTTTTTTTTTGTTAAGGGAGGCCAGGCCCGATTCCTGGCTCTGTAATATAAGCGACGCCGGGTCCGGTTCCCGGCTGTTTGTTAAAAAAACAAAAAGATCAAAGACGAGCGCGGCAGTAAAGACTTAAATCTTCTTCTTCTTCTTCTTCTTCTTTTTTTTTTTTTTTTTTTAACAACACAGCCAGGACCAGTATCCCAGGGGTTGGTATGAGCGGCCCCCCTGTGCTACGGCCTTGTGGCTCCGATCTATTGGTGGGGAGCAGCACCTGCTGGAAACCGGGTCCAGCGTCCCATTACAGAAAATCATGGCCAAAATGAAGACAAAAGCAGCGGCGTAGGTAAGGTAGTCACCTGGTATCATCATCACTGTCATCATATTCTTAGGTGAGAAAGAAAAGAAAAGCAAAAAGTAAAAAAAAAACAAAGAAAAGAAAAGAAAAGAGAAAGGAAAAAAGGTTGGGACACCGAACCCACTTTCCAGGTTAGTTTTTCATACCTTCCTTTTTTTTGGGGGACAAATGCTCCAATCCATTCATCGGGAGCAGCACATGCTGGGAACTGGGCCCAGGGTCCCATATGGCATTATAGTATGATACAGATCATTTCTAAGTACCCGGGCCAGCGGGCCATTACCCGGTTTTGGCCGAGAACAACTAGGAAAATCAAGAAAATATGGGAATGCTCATGAGACGACTACAGGGTCTCAGAAGAGCTATGAGAAAGCCACAAATCTTATGACTTAAAGTGACTTCTGTCTTCCCCTGAACATAAGGCATCTGCGTTTACAACGAGTATAACACATAGGTTGCGTAGTATTCTTTTAATTGGCATATGCCTTATATATTAGGGTTCAGTAGAACAAGTTGACGGGCACAAGGGGGCCCATTCTGGCCAGTGGCAGAGGGCATCATTCCACTGACCATCACACCCAGAAAAGGGAAAAAATGTGGCGTTCTATCTTTCCATGCTCTAGCCAAAGATTCATTCTCCTTTTCCACACTTAGAGGCTCGCCACACAGGCTGTCGAAAGTCGAGAATTTTCGACAGATGTCAGGAAATTTTCGACAGCCCGTTCTTCGACAGTTTTCCCCCCTTCGCCACACAGCCTGTCCAGGGGCGAGGCTGTCGAGGGGAATTTGGAGCAACTTTCGCGCAACCCTCACAAAAGACGGCACACCTGTCAGGGATTTGTCCCTGACAATGGGAAATGGGAGGCGTTTCTCGAAAGGTGGCGGCGCACTGTCGAACATCAGCTGCAGGCGGGAGGAAACGAGAGTTTCGACAGGGCTGTCGAAACCACAAATCTGACACATGTCGAAAACATTCTGAAACGGATTTCATCTACAGTATGTGTGGCGATGCAAAACTGTCGAAAACTCGGTTTTCGACAGCCTGTGTGGCGAGCCTCTTAGGCCCTGGCTCCATCCACTCTTCACCAAATATGCAAAATGAGAATGAATCTTCCCTTCGAATATGGAAAGATACAACACCGTATTTTTGTGGTGAGTTGTGGTGAGTAGTCGAGAGAGGCCCTTGGTGAAATGGTGGATTAGGACGTCGTTCGACACTCCTAGGGGCATCCTCGGGCTCCGAAGATGAATCCTGGGAAAAGTTTAGTTTTTTGGTCGTCTTCGGTCCACGCGTCCTCGGACCATTGGTTGTATGACTCATCCTCGGAGCAATGGGCCTCGCTGCACTACTCTCGAAATGTGCAAAACGAGAGCGAATCTTCGGCTAGAATATGGAAAGATACACGGCCATGATTTTTGTCTTTTTTGCATTTCAAGAGTAGTGCAGCGAGGCCCAATGTCAGATCCACCACACTCATCGAGCAACAGGGCCTGTAACGCAACAAACAAGCTAAAGTTGGTACTGAACCCAAGAGCCTAGCTCAGCGGGTACAGCAATGAACTGTTAAAATACAGACCTGTGTTCGAATCCAGATGATGGACCTTGACGAGCAGGCCCGGTCAGCTCAATGATAATAATATCTCAAGGCCGTCGCCCTTTCAAAAAAAAAAAAAAAAAAAAAAAAGAGTTGGTACTGGTGGTTTAACTCGAGTTATTAACTGGAGCTGGCGGCAACAGTCACCGTGTTGACGGTCCAGTGCTTAAAGTGCGGGGAGTGTGGCTGACCGGTGTACGGAATCTTAGCGTACGAGGAGGACGTGGCGCGCAACGTACAGTAGTAAGGGCATACTCAGTGTTGGAGACTCTAGAATGTAAGGGCATACTCAGTGTTGGACACTCTTGAATGTATCTGGCATCCGTGGCGGCTAATTTCTGTGGAAGAAGTACAAGTGCGAGTACGTCCTAAGAGAGGCGGGAGGGGGAAGAAGGGGAACAAGTAGGAGGGCGGATTAGGAAGACAGGGGGACGGAGGAGAGAGGGGGAGAGGAACGGGGAGGAGATAAGGGGTTGTAGAGGAACAGGCGCACGAAGAGGGGGAAGGAGGAGGAGGCGGAGGAGGAGGAGGAGGTAAGGTGTTAGGGACGAACTGTATAGAGGGATTGACAGAGAGATAGTACGAGGAGGGATAGGAGGAGAAGAAATAGAGGAAGAAGAGGAGAGGGAGGAGACGTGGAATAGGGCGGGGGTTTTAGGGGAGACAAGGAAAAGCAAGGACCCACAGTCACGATGGGTGACCCACTACACGAGCTGCTAATGTCCCCGTCCGCGTGTCCCGATCCCGTCAGGCCGGCTGCTCTCTCTGCCGCCGATTTGCACGCTTGTCTTCAGCGCCTTCGTCAACGATCGGAGGAGGTGAAAGCGAAAGTTCGTGGACTTGTCACAGCGCTCAGTGACGCGGATAAGAGTGTGGATGACGTGGCACCCCTAGCCGCGGAGATCCCGCGGCTGCTAGAGCGCCTCCTTCCTGGAATTGCGCTTGGTAATGGGGGGGTCTGCGAAGAACTCGCAGTAGAAGACGACAAGGATTCCCCGGCCGCGGGATCTCGACTTGCCTCCGAGGTCGGACTGAAACCGACCGCGACCGCGGGGACGACGATCACAGGTGGCGTGGCGGACATCGAGTCCTCCACCTCCACCTCCACCACCATTACCACCACCTCCTCCTCCTCCTCCTTCGCTGACGCATGTTTCCCGCCTTCTGTGTCGGCGCGCGGGGGCGACATTTCTGCAACTGCCCGGCATGCGAGGAGGGTCAAGCGAGAGCTCCGGGAAATCGAGGACTCTATCGAGACGGTAGAAATGGTGGTGGGAGTCCACGAAGTGCTCACGATGATAGACAAAAGCTTGCTGAGAGGGGAGATCGTGGACGCGGCCAGAGCAGTTGTGCGCCTAGAAAGGGCAATCATTCAAGCTGGAGTGAAGAGAGAAGCAGGTGGAAAAGATGATGATGATGAGGAGGAGGAGGAGGAGGAGCGTGTTTTGGAGAACGTCGGTGAAGAAGAGGTAGGGTTGCCAGTTGTGTTGTCGGAAGGAAGAGGAGAAGGTGCGCTTGCATCTGGTGCGCCATCTGCCACGGTGGCGGTCATCGAACAGGTGGCTGCAGAGGGTGGCGATGGCGGTCAGCAGCAAGCCAAGGAGAGGGAGCAGAGACACAGCGAGAAGGCGGAGGAGGAGATCCGCTTGTTTGGTATCCTGGCGCTTGCATCCGGTGCGCCATCTGCCACGGTGGCGGTCATCGAACAGGTGGCTGCAGAGGGTGGCGATGGCGGTCCGCAGCAAGCCAAGGAGAGGGAGGAGAGACACAGCGAGAAGGCGGAGGAGGAGATCCGCGTGTTTGGTATCCTGAGAAGCGAGTTCTCGCTGAGAAAGACAAAGTTGAAAGGTATTCTTGAGAGTCTGTTTCGGCGCGCATTGGTGATCGACCGGATTCATTGTGAGCTCAGGTGGATGCCAATAGTGCAGCTCTTTCGAAGACACAGTGGTGGTAATTCCGGCCAGATCACCGGAACGGATCTGAATGATACGGATGTCGATGTCGGTTTTGGTGACATTCTTGATGCTTTGGAGATTGCAGGCTGGCTGGATCTGAAACTGGCGAGCTTAGCAGATACCATGTTCACGAGAATTTTTCTCTCGGTTATCAAGGACCAAAGGATCAATCTTGAAGTCATCTATGTTGACAAGGATGCTTCGGCTTACAGTAGCGAGAAGACAGAGATGGAGGAGGATAAATCTGGAGTGGAGAAAGTGCACCAAGGACAAGGCAGGGAGGATTCTGGAAGAGGAAACCAAAAAGTTGGATCGAAGATTGTAGTTCTCAGCTGGCGGGCAACAGCAGAAGAAGGAGGAGGAGAAGAAAAGGTAGGGGAGTTGACTCTGCCAGAGGCTTTCCGGAAGATTCTTGTTGTGGTGCAGTTCATCCGGGAGCATATCATGGGGGGCAAACCTGTGCGAATGCGGCAGCTTGGTCGAACTCTCTGGCCGAGGCTAGCAGAAGCAATCATCAAAGGCCCACTAGGGAAGGCTGTGCCAAACAAGACTGCGGAGCTGGCAGATTTCCAGAAGGTGGCAGATCTAACGGTGGGATTTGAGCAATCACTTGTCCAAGAAGGGCTAATTTCATTTCCTGATGATGCGGAGGAGACTGCCAATGAAAGTGCTCCAGCTGAGGAGAAGGAGAAGATTGCAAGTGGAGAGAGTGAGGGGACCACGCATGGCGATGGCGATGCAGCTGGTGGCAGGAGTTCGGATACAGGTGCTGTCGGCAGGGCTAGTAGCAGCAGAGAGGTATCAGCAGCAGCAAAAGCACAAGTGCTTCTGCTGAGCACTTTTGCTGCCGATGTCGATGTCCACTTTGCTGTGAAGAAGAGGAAAAGGGTTGTTGTCAAGGCACGGGATCTGCTGATGAACTCAGATTTTGCTCCTGTGGTGGTGTCCAGCAGAACAGAAATCTTCCTTGATCGGAGCCTGCTGGAAGGATATGAACGGCTGGGGAAGGATGGCGGCAGAGGATCGAACGGTTGGAAGAGAGAGTCAGATGCAAAGGGGGTAGAGAGGATTAATGACCCCCCGCACCCCGATCCAGACAGTGTGCTGGAGGCAGAAGTTGTGCAGTCCGAGGATGTGAGCAGTCCTGGCTCAAAGGCGGACTTTTGTGATGCAAAACTGGAAGTGGACGATGAAGGACGGTTCTTTCTCTTGGAGACATGCCGTGTTTCCATCGCCGCCAAACAGCTGGTTCTGATAGCTCATCAAGCAATGGAGGAGGCATGTATTTCCACAGAGCGGACAGCAATGGATCTCTATCATGCGGGAAGAGATGCGCTTCTGCTGTACAGGGCAATTGTTCCTGTCAAGCATGCTGCTCAGCTTTCAAGAAGTGCACTGCTTGGGATGCTTCTGTACAATGACTGCCTCTACATAGCCCATCATCTCATGACAATGGGAATTCAGTATAGGCGGAGTCTTCTTCCTTCTCTGCGACGTAAGGTGGTATTTGTGGACCTGGCACGGTCCTTCCAGTTGATGGCAGAAGATGCTTGTCTCCAACACATAGAACTACAGCATTCAGAGTTGATGAAGGCTCTGGACCAGGGGCAAGGATTCCGATACACTGACGATCCACAACATTACCGCGATGCAAGTAGCGCCCTTCGACAGGCAGTAGATATTTTAACACGGCTGGCAGCAATCTGGAAGCCCATCTTGTCAAAGAAGGCATACCTGCATATAATGGGTGCTGTAATGGATGGAGCTGTGGCCAGGTTGGTAGCTGACGTGATCTCACTGCAGGACATGGCAGAGGAAGAAACTGTTCAGTTGCGGGCTTTGCTTTCCTATTTTGTCAAGGCTCTTCCCCCACTGCTGGAGCTCGATTCTCCTGGTGGGACCACGGCCGGTGAGGTGATGGAGGATCTGCAAAGCAAGGGCCCATTGTCTGAAGCACTTCGTCGGTTGGCCAGGGAGAGGGCAGAAGGGGAGTGCGACCATGGTGTGGGAGGGGTGAGAGTACCGCCCACACTTCATGGTGAGGGTCGAGGATCATTAGGCCATGGATCAACAGGCCTGTTGGGAGTGAAGGAAGGATCGTTGACAATGGATGACGCTCTTCCGTCTTGGAAGAAGTTGCTCAAGTTGATAGAGGTTTTGGCGCTTCATCTGACCCAGCTGGCAGAGGCATGGGAGAGGGGAGAGCTCTACTCAAGCGGATTCACACAGGCTGAGGTTAGGAATCTGGTGGAGGCCATTTTCTCCGAGACACCGCAGCGGAAAGATTGCTTGATGCGAATACTTGCTAAGAACTTTGGTCAGGATAGTTCATAAAAGTGAATCAGATCTAGATAATTATATCTGCCCCAACAACGCAAAGATCTCTCTCTCTCTCTCTCTCTCTCTCTCTCTCTCTCTCTCTCTCTCTCTCTCTCTCTCTCTCTCTCTCTCTGTGCCCCAATAACGCAAAGATCTCTCTGCAAAGATCTCTCTCTCTCTCTCTCTCTCTCTCTCTCTCTCTCTCTCTCTCTCTCTCTCTCTCTCTCCGTGTGTGTGTCTGTGGTAGCAGATACATCAAGGACTCCATTTCACAGATGGATACATACATACGTACAGAGAGAGAGAGAGAGAGAGAGAGAGAGAGAGAGAGAGAGAGAAGGTTGAACGACAGGTGGATGGATCCTGTGGCTGCACCTTCTCATGCAACCAGGATGCATCGGGAAATTGTGTCATATGCCAGTAACTCTATACCAGAGTAGATACTGAATACTAAACAGCAGTGCTATATGGGTCAATCAAGGTATAGCCTGAACCCACTCGTTACCTGTCTTCCCTTCCGAACGCCCTAGTTAATAAAAATAAGAATGTTCAATGTTACAGTAGTGAAAAAAAAAAAAAGTTGTGCTTCAGGCTTTCAGCCAATAGGGTGCCGCCACGATCAGAATTGTCGGTTGTATCGTCTCTCTACGTGCATGCCCTCTCCTCTCCGTGAAACACAGATCCTCGGGCCCCAAAGGACCTCGCGGACCTCGCGAGATCCTTTGGAGCTGAGGACGATTTGGCTGGGAAATCCTTGGAGCCCAAGGATTTGTCCTCAGAGTGTTTTCACAGTTTCATTTCCGATGTCATCTCCGAGAACAGGTGAAATGACGACGGAATCCTCGGAATCGCGTCCCCGTCCCCGAGGAGTGTCGAACGACGCCCTTAGAGGGACTGCTCTTATCACTCCTCTAAGCACACCCCCCACACATGAAGTTCTACAACCAAAAAAAAAAAAAAAAAAAAACCAAGAAGAATCCCTCCTGGCTTCACACTGCGGCGGCCGCTATGCCCAAGGCCAAAACACAACACATCTGTGACTACCTTCTTCCCCTGAATACAATGTACGGTCATTATAGCTGTATCTAGACTGAAAGATGCCTCAAATGCAGCTATAATGACCGTACGTTGTATTCGGGGGAAGAAGGTAGGGGTCGACAGGCTCAACTCGCAGAGAGTTGCAGGGGATTTTCCCTGTAGCCAGGGCAAAAACAGAGCAGGCGCTAACCTAAAAAAAAGGATGAAGAAAACAGAATCCTATTGAATTAAGCATTTATTTATGTACATTTATATCTGGTTTTGTGGGGATATTAATGAATCCTGTTATATATTTTGCTCAACAAAAAAGGGGAAAAAAAAAAAAAAAAAAAAAGGGAAAAAGAAAGGAAAAGAAAAGGAAAAAGAAATGTTCTACTTGAATACAACATATTTTTTTGCAATTCGAATTGAATGCAGAGGCTCTTTATCCGAATACAGCACGTGTGTTGTATTCGAAATGACCTTCTATTCGAGACTAACTGTTGAGAAATCGATGTTTTTTTTGAGAATTCGAATGCAATGCATATGCGTTATGTTCGGGGGAAGATGTGGTTTTGGCTCATTCTATGGAGGCGTGTAGAACCAGAACCTAACTATCAAGTGCCACTCTGTAGCCCAAACGTAAACCTGCCTCAACACATCTCCTCCTACTCGCTTACCAAACCTCTATCGCACCTCACACCCCCATCTGCTAGGTTACAAGGCGAAGAACGCGCACCCCCGATCGTACATTAATTTTGTCATTTGTACGTATGTCGCGAGAGCAACAAAGTATGATTTCTCCGGCCGGGTTTTGAGATTCGGTGTTCTATGATCATCATTAAGCACGGTACTTGGTCATTGTTGAGGACCCAAAGATGGGCTACTAGTCCAAATTCCATGAAATACACGTACAAAAAAAAAAAAAAAAAAAAAAAAAAAGTTGAAATTTGAAAGACAAAATTAACATATAGGCAGGGTCACCAGCCCGTACGTACGGAGGTCCCTGGCCAGACCTCCGTATGTATGGGCGTTCGGCCCCCGCCAAAAATTATTTTGGGGCCTAACAATAATTATTTTTTTCTGATTGTTTTTTTGTGAGTTCTCTATGACGTGACGTACATGCCTGTAAATTTTCACATCATTTGGCTAAGCCAAATAAGAATTAAAAATCGCCAAAGATGGCGGTGTCAAAACATGCTCGCCCACGTATTTTTTCACTTTTTACTTTTTTTCTCTTTAGTTCGGGGTCTAAACAATTTTATTATTGTTTGAAACTTTTTTAGTGGGTTTTGTATTATGTGAAGTACACATCTGGAAATTTTCAGGGCATTTAGCTATGCCAAAAAAAAAAGAAAATCGCCAAAGATGGCGGTGTCGAAAACATGCTGGCACACTCAATAAATTTAATTCTCTTTTTATTTTTATTTATTTTTTATTATTAGTATTTGTTTTCCGTATTTTATTTTTATTTCAAATTTGGTAAGGAATTCGGATGTAATGCTCAGGCAAATCTTGTTTAATTTTCAAATTTGGTAAGGAATTCGGATGTAATGCTCAGGCAAATCTTGTTTAATTTATTTTTCTCCATAACATATCTTTTTTTCAGATTTTTTTGATGACTTTTTTTTTTTTTTTTTTTTTTTGGGTCCGCGTTCGGCCCGAACGGCCGAACGCATCCCCAAGGGGTCCCATACGTTCGGGCGTTCGGGTTCGGGGATTCGGCCCGGCCCGAAAGCCGGTTACCCTGCATACGGGGGGGGGGGGGGGGAAACCATACAGCATGCAGTCCATCCCAATCTTTTTTTTTATATTTTTTATCCCAGTCTAAAGTGCAATCAGACTCGCTTTCTTTTCCACTCCGCATGCATGCAAATAGTTGGCGATTCACACTGGCTATTTCGGGATATATAGGAATTTGTTGCATGTTCGACATGATCCTCATACTATGGCACAGTCTTTTGACATCAAGGATATGTTTAGCCAGTTGCCACATCAACAGGCAATTCAGAAATTTGCTTCGGACTGGCTGGGAGGAGCTGGGGGGAGCAGTCTGGGGCAGGTGTCATGGTCAGGAGAGGATGGGACGGAGGAACCCCTCAGAAGGGACTTTCAGCTCAACTTCAAGAAATGGTTCATACTTTGGCCAGGAACTACCCTCAGAGTTCCAATTTTTTTTCACAGATCAATTTCCTCCTTCTGAGCGTGTGCTCTTGTAGAAATGCAATGGTTTGGTTTGGGAGAGGACTAAAAAAATTCAATAAATATTAAGGAAAGGCAGAGGTAGCAGCTCTGGACATTAGCTTCCATACTTTGGCACTCAATCACTGACAAAACATTGCCATCGGACCAGGTCGCTCTCTTACTAGGCTTGCACGCCCACAACTCATGGCAGGGATTCGAAGTTTCCTTCTTCCACATTCCAAGGTCTGACCTGGGGGGAGCTTGAGGCTTGTGGAGTTATGCTGAGGGTGGAAGGCATAACCAGATCGTTCGACGAAGCGGACCCCAGGGTATTAACCCTGTAACCTGTTCAGGGGCCCGCTAAGGGTAGTGTCGAGGGAGGAAGGCACTTCTTGTCCGTCAGAACTAGGTTGGTCAGAACTGGGGAAGGTTGCGGTGCCCTGTTACCCTAGCATGAAGGGGGTGTGAGATCAAGTGATTTCTGGTACGAGGACTGAAAGCCTGGACAGATTTTCCGTCAGTTGAGGGGGGAGTTTTGGATAGTAGGCTGTTTCATTTTTGACCCCCCGCTCATATAGTTTTCTATGCCTTTCCAGATATTTTCAAAAAACAAAAAGACTTAGCTACTGCGGCTTGAGTAACCTAGCATTCGGTCGGTAGGTCGGCAGTTATCCATGGTTTTCTTAAAAATTCTTCTGAATTTCTTTCGTAGTTCTCAGATTGTTCTTATTTGAAATTCTTAGATTGTTCTTAGTCGAAACGAGTAGGTATCCAAGGTTTTCTTAAATTTCTCCTGAACTCTTGTTGTGGTTCTCAGATTGTTCTTAGCTCAAATTCTCAAGATTGTTTAGGATGGGAATAGGGCACCTTGGTCGTAGTTTTTTTTTTTTTTTATGGGAACAAGGCTCCAATCTATTCGTGGGGAGCAACATGTGCTGGGAACCGGGCCCAACGTCCCATATGAAAATTTACATAGAATCTGGAAAATTTGAGATACCGGGGCCATTACCCGGCTTTGGCTAAGAAAAAATAAACTACTTAGAAAATTACTACGACGAAGGTCAGAAATAGGCAAAATTCTAAAAATGACTCAGAAGCCCCCCATCAATCCTCTTTACCTCACTCCGGCAAGACTTACTGCAGCAGAGCCACCATCTCCGCTGCTGCTGTACCCTATTTCCATCCTACAAGCTAGCCCCCTCACTAGTAGGACGCTTGATAACCCATCATCTACTTCTCCCATTCACCTCTTTTTTTGAGAAACAAAGACATATGCACAATTCAGAAAAAGACTCGGACACCCCCTATCAATCCCTGTACCCCACTCCCGCAAGACTTACTGCAGCAGAGCCACCATCTCCGCTGCTGCTATACCCTATTCCCATCCTACCAGCTAGCCCCCTCGCCAGTAGGACGCGTGGATACCCAACATCTCCTTCTCCCATTCACCTCGATTTTCCTTGTACTCCACTCTGACAAGACTTACTGCATCAGAGCCACCGTCTCCGCTGCTGCTGTGCCCTATTCCCATCCTAAACAATCTTGAGAATTTGAGCTAAGAACAATCTGAGAACCACGACAAAAGTTCAGGAGAAATTTAAGAAAACCTTGGATAACTACTGGTTTCGACTAAGAACAATCTAAGAATTTCAGATTAGAACAATCTACACAGTTTCAAGCACTCCACTTTCGTTGGCTCCGACATCTCATCTTCTCATCATCCTCGCCCTGGATCCCTCTCGCCTCGGCACAAATTGCAGCCTTGGCCCCCGAACCCCCATCTGAGACCGACCCTCGAGTGTGGCTCGAAGACAGGAGCTGGAAGCTAGCGAGGAAATACAGAAATGGGGACCCCGCAGATGGACAATGGTTGCGCCTTTTACGGGTGTGGAGGAAGACTCCCCCTCCTGATCGCCCAACACCAAACAGGTGGGAGGAAATTTTCAGACACTCCCTGTTGGGTAATAGATTGATCACATATTATTTCGGTCGAATGAGGTGTAGCTCAGATTCCCCATGGAAAGGTTGGGTGAAACACGGGGTCAGGAGGGTGGGGGACCTTTGGGACACGGATACAAGGGACTGGAAAAGCGCAGAAAGAATGCGTTCATGTTTGCGATATTGTCATTTCACTAAGGACGCACTTAACGACCTCATTGATAGTTTTCCCTTTCACTGGTACATCACGCTTCGGAAGGGCCCTCGGTTGGTAGAAGGGGACTGGGTAAGTTTTTCCAATTGTGAAAATCAAGTAGGGCGGGTTCACTTGGTAGACCAAACGCAAGTGTTGATCGAAGTCTTCACCATCCAAAAGGAGGATCAACTACGAGGGAGTAGCCAACCTTTTATCT